AATCAAAAGTTGGTACCTTATAATCATTCAGGACCTAGATGTAAGCATGTAAACGAGTCGAGCAAAGCTCGTGGCTCAGACTCGGTTCGAGTAAAAATGACTCAAGCTTTTTTTGCTCAAGCTGAGCTAAAGCTGGGCCGTAAAATTTAGGCTCGGAGCCAAGCCGAGCTGAGCCCAGCCAGCATGCTCGATTGTTTTTTTTTTTTTTAATTCAGGTAGTTGTTGAAGGCAGCTACAGATGCCTGCTTGCGTCAAAGATTGAATTAACACTCGATCGATCAATTAATTGAAATGAGACATTCGAGACCGTTTCCAGATTCTTCGAATCCAATTCCTTAAGAAAAGGTGAAAACGACATTAATGGAGTTTCAAACCCAATATTTTCAGCAAGAAACAATTCCTGTGGACATTCCTACCAAAATTCCAATTCCCAATCCCAGAACAGAACCAGATAAAAATGCTAGTCTATGTAGTAGATGATTCCCCCTTTCTCTTCTTCTACTACCTCTTAATCTTCATTTTCGTTCTCATTCTCTTCCGTTTCGCCATCGTCTTTTTCTTCCTCGTACTACTTTTTGCCCTGTGCTCTGACCTCGTTTACCTCTTAACTTCTCTGCTATGTCCCCGCTAACCGTGTTCTTTCGCGTTATATATCTTATTTAGCATGTATAATTTATGGGTGTGTTTATTTGTCTAATAAGGGCGCAGGGGGTGTTTGAACAGCAACTGGGACAGTGGACCATGCCAGATGCCATGGACTCGGGTTTGGTTCTGTTAACGACATCGCCGAACGTATACCAACCGTTTGATCAAAAGTCTCATTAGGACATCTCAAGGCAAGAGCTGAATTAGTAAAACTAGTGTTGTTGATATGTGATTTTTCTTCCTTTTTTGCACGTTATGAATAAATTCTTGTATATTATTACTCTTTAGATTCTCTTTGTAATCGATTAATAATATTGATAATATTTCTTATGTTCTCAAATGGCTTCATATTTGATTTTCTTACACACATCATATATAAGCAGGTTCTGAATTCGAGGAATATGTCAAAAAGTATTAATTCCTCAACATGTTGAGAATTCTACAAGTATTCCTTCAGTTTCAGTGGTAAAAAAATTGTTCAAAACCAGGGCGATCAGTAGTTTTCTAAATTATGGTCTGGCGCGGCGCGGCCAGGCCACCGTGTCTGATAAGCCTTTGTTTGAGATTCACCATTTAC